AGCAGTGCTGATGAAGGACAGACAGCTGGAAACATGTTTTCAGTGCTCTTTGTACCATTCACATGGTAGCTAAGCTCTGAAATGAGGTCATCATTGGAAGTTGAGTTTAAAAACATATTAAGAGTTTTTCTATAACAGTAAAGAGCAGCGAACTCTTCGGTAGAAACATACTTGTAAAAGGAGAATCACTCAGCCTCCTTAATTTCTATACCTACACTAATAATTCGACTTAAGTGCTGTTGATTGGCATTGGGTACCCATGCACATTTTTGGAGACCACCCTTATTTCCTGTTACCTGCGAGGTGTTTCTGGCAGAAGCAATGTAGTCATATACAGGCTTGGCCCCTGGTGGCAGGGCACGAAGGCTTTGCAGACAGGTTGTACACACAGCTGAGTCCCACAGGTGTAAACATCCATTGTGTTGTGTCTCGGGAATCTGTGACTGCAAGCTGCAGTGCCAGACTTCTGTTTGTGCTGGCACTAAGGAGGCCTGAATAAGCAAGCACTTCCTTACCTGACAAGCCTCCGCGTGGAGGTTTGTTTTTTTGTCATTGGCTTATTTAGTTTGACTTTTTCTTCTGTTGTAAATATGTAGGTGTGGGAAGAAGTTTTTATCCTGGAAAAAAAAGTTTGGACTAGACTTGATGTTTTACTTCTCTGTACTGCTTAAGATGCGCTTATCTACTCTCGAGTAAAGGCAGTGCGAGGCGGAGTGCTAGGAAAGTTAGGGAGGTCAGAAGAAACTTGTAAAGAGATCTGGACGATCAGAGGAATTTCTGTCCTTACCGTGGTTCCAGAACTGGAAAATCAGTGTTGTGTTTGGAAACGGTGCACTTCTTGTCAGTGTAGAACAAAATAAATGTTAATTTCTAGAATCAGATTGCCAGAAAACAGGTCAGCATTTTAAATAGTTTCAATATTTCCTTCTCTTCTAGATCTCAAAAGAATGTCCTGTAGAATCATTCCTGGCCTTTTGGAGAGAATCACAAGCCATGGCTTTGTAGCTTAAAAAAGAGATGTTAGAGTTGATGACAGAGTTGAAGACAAGTTGAATGGTCATGAAAGACGAAATAGTCTGAAAACATCTAGGCAGGTGTCGTGGTCTTCTGTCAGTATTACCCTGTGCTACTTTTTCCTAAATAGAGTCAAGAGAGTACTTGATGTTGATTAATCTTTTCCCTAGAAATTGTATTTTGTTTCATAAACAAATATTTTTATTTATTTATTTTCTTTTAAATTCTTTCATTGGTACATTTTAGGTATACAATACATTTACATTTATCATTGGGTGCTTGTACCCGTACATGATGAATCTTGGTTCTTATTTTTTCCCCCATTACCTGTGTGCCCTTCACCCCCTCCTATAATATTTTTATAGTTTGGCAGCAGGGGCTTTGGAATCAGAGTTCAGATGCCAGTGTTACCGTTTTAAAACTGGAACCTTGGGCTGGATGTTTCAGTTGTGAGCTTTTCTCATTTGTAATGTGTGGGGAGCAATGCTTAAGCTGGAATGTTGTTGGGACTATGCAAGGGATGATTGAAAACTATGGTGAGTGTTTAAATTTTAACAAATATGACAGTAAAACACACATTACTGTTAATCTTTCTCAAAATATCTTTCTCACCCTCTTTGGTTCAAAAACACTCATCTGGAAGCAGTTCTGGAAGTCCTCTTCTGTGAGTGTCTTTAGGAGGTATAATAAAAATACGATGAATGCAGTTGGAGAATGCCATCCGGTGGAGAGGCAGGTTTGTGAAAAGTGTGTCTTCTCCCACATCTTCACCAGATCTGGCATCTTGCGACTTCTGGTTCTTCCCTCAAGTCCAAACAGCCATGAAATGTAAATGTTTTGAATCTGTTGAGTACATTAAGGTTAGCCACAGCAGCACAACTAAAGACACCCAGAAAAAAAGGACTTCCAGAACTGCTTGAGAAGTTGACAAAAACAATGGGATGACTGTGTTTGAAGCAAGAGGGAATTTTCTGAGGGGCATTGATGGTGATCTGTCTTCAATGATAATAATTAAAAAAATTTTAAACATGCTGTAAGCCTGCCACCCAATAGGCATTTATTAAATGTTAAATGTGTTAATGCTGTAGGAAGTAATTTAAATTTAAAATTGCAGTACAAAAGTACAGAAATAAAGACACAAAAACAGTTGTTTGGTTCTAGATGACAGATGACAGGCATTTTGGCAACATGCTCCATTTGATCCTTTACTTTAGCTCATGATTATGTCCTTTTCCAGAAGCCTTTAGAACAAGTTTGCCTGGGGCTGAAATGGGGGAATATCCAAGACCTTAAGAAGTGAGTGGTCCTTGAAAAGGGTGGTTAAACAGAATAACGACGGAGTGAGTTACTTTTATCATTCCATACTGTAGGTGATCACAGATACATAGGATTTATTCTGGTTGCTGTGTTCTAAGTGCTGAACTGAATAGTTGAGAAACACCATCTCAGTTAAGTCCTGTCATAACCTGAGCTTTGGATGTGTTGGCCATCATTATACATATGAAAAAGTGAAGGAATAAATCTCACCTTCTGTAGCTGGAGTCTTTGAAGCCAGAGTAGTACTGTCCTAGCAATCACCCGTGACCCGGTACCTGACCCAGTCTGGGGGGAGCTCAGCTCTTTGGGATGCCTGTCCCACATGGAGTTCATTGAGGCAGTGGTGGTTCATTAGAATCTTTGAACCACTATGTGCCTGACTCGGAGGACATGGAGAGCCTGAGGAATTGTGTACATGCAGTGCTATTTTTTCTGAAATACTATTATCTAGTCTCTTGATTGTGACTTTTGTCCTTTCGAGACAACTGTGGAGTGACTGTCCAAATCAGTGTTTCTTTGCCTCGGCTACACGGAGGAATGGCTCAGGAGGTATAAAATGTAAACCAAAGAAAAGAAAACAACATGAAGCCCTGTCCCCACCTCCAGAAAGTCTGGTGGAAACTAAACAGTGCCTGTAGTCTTCTGAAGACTCAGTTTGGGCCCCACCCTCCCTGGGGTCTAGACTGAGGCATCAGGACTCATGGTGCTGCAGGCTATGAGGCGAGGTAGTCTAGCTCCACAGCCGGGGCTGCCGCACACCTCCCTCCCGCAGCGTCCCTAGACACCTCCCTCAGGGAACCCCTGACACACAGCAGAGGAGGGAGAGGTGAATGAAGAAGCCCTTTGGGTACTTGGGCTATTCCAGTCAGTCTGACCTTCCAGGAAGCCTGCTGAGAACCCAGTTCCAGCCCCTGGGATCTCACTTTTCCATGGCTTGTCCATGCCTTAGATATCCTGGCTCTGTGCATTGTTTGCTTTCCTATTCTGGTAACTTTGAGCATAGGTGTGTCCAGGAGCAGTTCCAAATGGTGGTCACCAGTGCTGTTGCCTTTCAGTGGAATTACGTTTCCTGTCTTCTCTTCGCGCTGCTCTTGTCCACTTCACAGTCCTCCTGCTCCCACCGCTCCACAGCTTTCTTTAACTTGGACAAGGACAGACCACAGTAAATCCAGCTGTGGACGGTAGTCTAGGCAGCAGAGGCACTTTAAGGCCAATAAGTAGTTTGCTATTTGCAGGCATGTCTTATTGGAACACGGCTTCTGTGGAAATATGGTGTTCACAGGTTACCAGTTGGAGCAGTAAATTAGATTTTCCCTAGCAAATATTTGTCCACAGTAATCCAAGTCATTTTTAAATCCCTTGTACACAGGAGGGGGCAGTATGGTACTATACGCCAGCGCTCTGTTGAAATTGCTGGTTTTTGAAATTGGTATGTCATAGTTTTTAGGTGAGAACTTTGTGCAATTAAAACTCCAGTATCTCTCTTTAATTTTAAAGTAGACTACTTGGCATACGTGATGGCTTCGGTCATGTCACAGGTCGTGAGTGTTTTTCTTAACTAAGTTCCCTTACTGTTGTGGGATGTTAATGTGGTACTTTCTGTTGGGAGTGTTACATTATGTTTTGTTGGAAGCTGGCTTGCTGGCTTCTTTCTCCACCTGAAGCGCATCAGTCTTTTGGAGAAAGTGTCTGTTAGGTCGATGTCTTTAATATATTTTATTTTCCTTTACTTTATTGAAGGCTGAAAGGTCTCCAGTGTTGTGGGAAGGCAGCCTCTGATTTCAGGTCATGGTAGTCATGGAAGATCTATTAGAAATCATCCTAGCATCATATGGTTTTCCTTTTCTCCAAAGAGGGGGAAAAATTTAATAAGCAAAGAAGCAGCACAGTTTAATTAATGTTATTATTACTAATACATGAATGACACTGTAGATAAAGCAGGGCGCCAATGTCCTTGGTTTCATAAACGGAGAGGGAAATTATTCAGAGAAGTTGGAAAGTATTAATGAATTGATAAAATCTGTGAAACATTTTATGAAAAAATGTAAGCAGGAATCCAGAAAGGTAATTTCATAAGCACAGGCTATTTTTAAGTGTGCAAAAAATATTTGCAGTCAGATGTTTGTTTATGTAGTTAGAAAAAAATCGAGACCAGCATTTTGGCATAAATATAATCCTCTGTGAAAACTTAATGTGATGCTTCTTTTTGACAATTTATCCTGGCTCCTTTCTTTGGGAATAAAGAGCTGTGGTACTATCTATACCTGGTAAAGATACTTACTACTTGCTTAGTTTGGGGAAGGATATTTGAAATAGTTTGATGTGGTTTTTACTAACTTGCAGTGAGAAATTTTATTTTCGAATATATTAAAAATAAGTAAGTAGAAGTTTTCTGACCTATTCCTCAAATTGGAAGGGATAGGTTTTTTTTTTTTTAAATTCTTTTATTGGTACCTTTTAGGTATGCAATACGGTTACGTTTATCATTGGGTGCTTGTACCTGTACACGATGCATCTTGGTTCTTATCCGCCCCCCCCCGCCATGCAGGGATAGATTTTTGACTCTGGGTTATCTTGGAATGAAATCCAAATCAAATGTGGTTTGCTGTAGCAATACACAGGTTTCTGTTCATGGCCAACAACTGATGTTCTTTATCCCTTGGTGGCAGATTTTTCGGACCTCACCCGACACCACATTCCCTGAGCCCATGCGCCTGTCGTCCTCACCCCCCAATGCTCCCCCAAGACAATCAAAGAGACAAGGACAGAGGATGAAGAGACCTGTGGCCGTGTACAATCTGTGTCTGGAGCTGGAGGATGGTAAGATGCTCATGGTGATTTTCTGCTTGATGCCATATTGAGAATACAGCCGGTCATGTATCCTCAAGGCAAGCCATGGGTCCCTGTGCTTAATTTGTTTCCCTTAAGATTGTAATTTGGGGGATTAACAGGGAGGTTGAAGCTTGTTTGTCATGAAGGAAAAAAATGCAAGTATCAGTTTCGTGTTTATCTTTATTGTGCATGGTTTTACTTTTTTTTTTTAAGACGGCTTATGTTTCTTTTTTGGGAGACTTGTGTGACCTCCTGTGAGGTTACATAACACTGAGACAAATAGAAGAGAAACTAAAATTAAAGCAGATCTTCTAAGGGAGGAGCTGGTTGCATCTATTGTTCAGTGTGTGTCTAGGTTAAAGGCACAGGTCATTATTGTCTTGGGTATTAGAGCTCCTGGCCTGTACTTAGTCCCCTTGTCTGACTTTCTCACAAGGCAGAGCATTTCATCACGTGACAGGGGTGACAAACAGACCTCCCCACCAAGACTGGGCCGTACGGAGACTGGCACATGGTGCTTTTCATATCCCAAGTTACCTCAGTCCAGCTGATTGTTGACATTCAGCTACCTGTCTCAGTATTGCCAGATTGCCCACTTGTAGAACAAAGCCTGGAAATCTGAATTTTCAGTGTTGATCCATGCAAAGCAAGACCGTGAGCCACACAGAGGGGACACGCTGATGACTTGTGATCCTGTAGTAGCTGCTGTGGAGAATAAGGTGACCTGGTCTCAAAGCCTGCATTTTCACATGTACGTCTGAAACACACTCTGATGGTGGCTTCTCTCATATTTAGCCTATTTCCAAAACTTGAAGTTTATTTTCTTTTTCTTTTTGCCCTCATTCATCTTTTAAAAAAATGTCTTCCATATATTATCCTATGATGTACTAAAGTTATACTGGTTTGGGAGTATGAGATGAAAAAAGGGATCGTGAAGGGGACAAACACAGTACGGTGGACCCTCAAGTTAGGACCAGCCTGACATATGAACAACTTGGGTTAATTAGGTTAATGGAAGATTCCTCTGCCTCTTGTTATCTATAGTGTGCGCGCGGGTAAACATCCAGACCTCAGCTGCATTGACTTACAGCCAACTTGAGTTACAACCAGCCCTCGGGAACTGATCAAGTTTGTAAGTCAAGGGTCCCCTGTACCTTCGTGGTAGCAGCTATACATTGACATGGCTAAGTACCTAATATCTAAAGAACCAGCTGTCCCCAGGGACTTGGGTGTCTACAGGAACCGAGGTCTGAGACCTTCTGGTATATTCTTTTAGGTTGCTTACGACATGTGCACATATGAGACGTTCAGTAGTTCTACAGTTAGATCCTAATTTTTCTGAGAAAGCCATCAATCATAAAAATCAACTTCTAATTTCAGAACTTCACCTTAGATGTTGGTTTCTGATCCCAGCTAGCTCCCTCCCCCACTTTTGTTGCCTTCACTCTTTCTCAACAGAGTTGCTAATAAGGAGTACAACTGACTGGTTTGAATTGCACCTTCTCGTACATCTCACCTGTCCTCTGGTAGAAGTGTTAATAAACAGCGAAATAAGCAAGTGTCAGAAAGTAGAAAGGGAAAAAGAAATCTGGAAGATAGAGAATAATACGGCAGTTGGCTGGCTGGCCCTTTAGCAAACCACACTTGACTATATTTCATGAAGGATATGACCAAAGATAGACATTTGTCTTACAAGCACATCTACTTTTCTGGTATTCATAGGAATAGAATCATTGTATCTGATCAGATTTATGGAGGTATTAATCTTTTGATTGCTGGCTTGCTAAATGATTTTTAATAGCTAAGAGGCATCTGTAGCATTCAGCACATCATTTATGAAAAACTCAAGATGGTGCACAAGCATAGGTTTCCTAATTTGGGGGAAATAAAATATTTTTTTCCTGGTGCTAGGGATTAAACTCAGGGCCTTGCATATACTAGGCAAGCACTCTACTGCTGAGCCGCACTGCCCAGCCCTGATAAAATAATCTGTGAAAGCCCTGTGAAAATAAATCTTTGATTTAAAAGGAAAAAAGACTATTAAATGTTCAGTTCCTCTAGGCTGTGGCTGTTAATTATTTTATGATGTTTTATTTTATGTATTTTGTACTTACAGAGAATTTCATACCTGTACATTAATCCTTGATTGGAGTCTCGATTTCATTCATTCATTCATTCATTCATTCGTGTGTGTGTTCTCAGAATCAGGAAAGCCCATCAGTTTGTTATGAAATAATTGTATTTTGTCTTGGAGGTCATAGCATAATATAAAGTAATCCTCCTGCCAATTACTTGTAGCTAGGATTTAGTAAAATCTCAAATTGTGTGTAAAAGTCTTTCAGAGAGAGAACAAACTAGAGTCAGTATTTCATTACAGACTTTGATGTTTTGACAATTTTGAAAAAATTAGAAGATAAATAGGTAGAGAATATACTTTTGGAGAAAAAAACCACATAGGAAATGAATACAAAAAAATGATTCATGTTTATTCAGTGCCCTTTAGCAGATTGAAAACTACTTCTTCCAAAAATAAAGAGCCCGTATTCTTGTTAGTAAAACTTTAATGTTTTTTTCTGTTTTTTTTTTAGTAGGCTGAATCATCTAATTATCAACACTTTAATCTTTGTTGTTGTTGTTCATAGCAAAGTTACTTCCTATATTTAGTTTTAGTTTAAATATGCATTATAGATAATGTTGATCATCTTTCCAAAATTTTTTACTATATATGAGCCTGGTAGAATATTTAAATGCAAGTAGGTACCCACCCCTCCCCTATACTCAGTGTGGTGTGAGTTAAAATTTTTTTTTTTTTTTTGGTACCGGGGATCAAACTCGGACGCTTGCGCAGCAGGCAGCGAAACCACTGAGCTAAATCCCCAGCCTGTTGTGAGTTCAATTTGAATGAATAGCATCCAGAATAGTTTTTGCTTAAAAGGTTAGATAGGTTAGATAGGTCTGAGGAAACTGGATTACAAGACTGAGGATTATCTCTGGCCCTATTATATTTGGTCACAGATTTGGCATTTGAGTGAAGGGTTTGTGGTATGTTATTTCTTCTTTTGTGTTAAGTATGAAGCCATGCTGTGTACCAAACAACCAGCCTCGGAAGACACTGACGTGGTTTCAGCTTAACCTTCGAGTAGATCAGGTAGTGAGCATGAGCACTGTAGAACAGGCCTCGAAGACTAGAATTCCAGCCACATCGTGAAAGAGAGAGCCTCTGATAGTACACATCACTTTTCTTTTGTTTTCTTGAGTTCATTCTCAGTAGAAAAGATGACCAGTTTAACCACAAAAACTTAGTATCTTTATAAAGACTTTAATTGGTATTGGCACATTTAGCCATAACGTGTTTGCTCATTATTTTTGTCATTATTAAAATTAGGTGATATTAGACATATTACATCCAAAAAATTCTAGTTATTTGCTTAAAGTTCTTTATTGATGATTATTGTGAACTACAGTGGTTATTGTAATTAGCTAGTTTTCTTAAAGCAGCAATAAAGTCTACACCAAGCTTCTTCTCTTGTTTTATTTTGTAGAATCTGTATTGTTTCTTGTCATATAGTTTATTAATCTCATGCTGTATGTTTATTTTCTTTAGGCCACTTCTAATTTGCCTTTACTAACTCTTATGTAAAAAGAGGCTATTGTGTTTGTTGTATTTCCCCCAAATCTGAACAAGGGAAGTCTATGAGTTTATATGAGATGAAAGTGATCTTTGTTATTTTTCTTTAAAGGCATACAAATTTTTTAAGCAGTGGTTTGGGAAGGGGGGAAAAAGAGTATTACTATATGAATTTTGATTATGATTCCTTCTATACTAGCTTTAATTTAAACAGGATTACACTTTTTAGTACTAGTTCTTATATGTATTTGTCTTGGTTACTTTTCTCATTGCTGGGACAAAATACCTCAGAGCCAAAGTTAAAGGAGGACAGGTTTATTTTAACTCATACTTTTGTAGAGGTTTCAGTCCATAGTTGGCTGGCTCCAGGGCAGAGTAGCATGGCAGAGGAGCATCAAAGAGAAGGAGCAGTTCATGCTGTGGCAGGCAGAAGACAGCAAACAGCAGTAGCCTGCCTTCCATTTTTCCATTTTATTCTGTTTAGGCTACAAGCCTAATGGTTGTTAGAACCTACACCCAGGGTGGGGCTTCCATTATCTACACCCAGAGCTATGTTAAACAAATTTAACAATCACACACCCTAGATTCACCTCCAGTGAGCCTGTGAGGCTTTGGAGGGCCATCTAGATTTATGCCAGAACAGTATCTTCATGTATATAATTCCCCATTCTGGCCCTGTCTTCTTTTGTACTTGATATAGCAGTTTCCTTATCTAGGCAATTTAAAGAATAATTTAACATCAATTGAAAAAACATTTTGTAAGCCACTGGGCAGGATTTGATATTGTAGGATTGGTCTTTCTTAGGTGTAGTTGGGTTGGCACTTTTAACATGTGTATCCTGAATATGTTAACTGCAGCAGGTTTTGTTGAATGTGTGTTATTGTGGTCCTGCAGTGCGTTAGATATCATGAGGAAGATACAAAGACTTATTAGCAAGAAAGAAACCACTACCCTTGAGGGTGAGATGGGTAAAGGTTGAAGCATGATCCTTCTACCCTAAATAGGAACATATGCTGATCTGGACCAGTCTGCAACCTCAAAGATGACATATGTAGATGTCCTTTCAGGCTGAACATTGTCAGATTAGAACTTTGGATAATCACCTAACATTTAAAAGTCACATGTCAGTGAAGTTAGTGTTAATGATATAAATTAGCCACTTTAGGTAGGCTGAGAAATCTGGTTCAAGTTTAAGGCCTGAGGGAAGAGAAGGAAAACTAGAAAGCCCCGGTCACTGTAAGGTTTTATAAATGTAGATTTTTCTAAGTGTAGATTTTTTTTCCTTAAATTCTTTTATTGGTACATTTTAGGTATACATTATGTTTACATTTATCATTGGGTGCTTGTACCTGTACATGA